AGGTTAGCTGGGATTTCTCCCAGAATAGGGCGGACAAGGATTTACAGGCGAGCCCCTCCACTACCTTCTGCCTGCGAGAGCGGCACCGTTTGCCACAACAGCAATGGGTACCTTGGTAGATTCATGCCCCAAGAGATCTCGTGAGAAGGTTGAAATGAAGCTCTGAGCGAAAAGCAAGGAGATGATTCCCGTTGACATGTTCCATCCCTTCATGGCCGATGAAACAACCGCTCGCCCGAGATGCCGCACGCAGAGGAGCGCCGCTCAGGAGGAGCCCTTTGGAGCAGGCAGCGGCCAGGGAAGCGGATTCCAGATCCTGGGGCCTGTGGGGGGATTTACTGCGCTCGAGCAGCGGTCTCTTAGGGCAGGAAGGAAAAGGTTATCCATGCAGTGTTGAATAATTCCCCCCATGCATAAAAGGCAGAGGAAGATGAGCTAATGGGAAGAAAAAAACCTAGGTTCAACTCACAGCAGAATTCTGCTTTTAATTGCACACACACAAATCGCTTTCAAGAAGACAACAAGTGTTTATGATGCTTTAACAACATGTAATCCACAGCACAGGCAAAGTCATAACTAGAAGTCAAGCTTACTGTGAGGAAGTTTGAAAGCGGGGCAGACAGGGCCAAATACCTCCAAAAAAGCCAGACTTCTCAAATGGCACAGGGTCATTCAGTAACCAATCCTTGAAACCAGAAAGATGAAGGCGTTCAATGCATTCCCTGCTACATCGCAAACATAAAGGTAATCACAGTGTGCATTTGTGTTGCAGCCCTGGCACGTATTGTACACCTATAGCTGCAGGACTCAAGAGCCTGCAAGCACAGGCCTTGCACGGGTGGGATTATCTACGGTTTAACAAAGAACCGGTGCAAAATGCGTGAGATGTCCAAAGCTGGAGCAACCAGCAACCAGACGAACCTTAAAGATGAAGAGACAGCTGTAGTTAAAAGGCAGAGCTGACCAGAGTGTTTAAAGCAAGATGAGTGAAGAACTAATTCAAAGGAGCAGCCTTCAAATATAATGTGAAGGGACAGCACATGGAAAGAAAAAGAGAGTAATTGAGGTGAGGAAAAATTTCAAATAGAAATAGAATAAGGAAAAAATATTTTATGTATATATGTGTATATATATAAAGTTCTTTTAACTAGATTGAGCCATTCTACACAAAAATATTGTGATTACATTCAGCTGAACCCGAGAAGCAAGTCTGTACAGCGCCAACACAGCCTGTTTTTCTGACCCCACATCACCAGGGATTTGGGGCCGTTTAACACTCGGGGCATCACTCCGCAGCCAAAGCGCCGGAGGCAGCTGGAACCGGGGGAATCGCTGGCTCCGAGCGATCGTGGACCGCGGGCACACGCGTGCGGGAGCCCTTGTGAAGGAGGCGTGCGCTGCGGGTCAGCTTGCTGGGGAGAAACATGTGAAACGGGGTCCTCGTGCAAACGATTCACAGGCCACTTTGAGATCCCTGCTGGATTCCACCCTAAACACATGGTCCAAGGCATCCGAGCAGTAATATCAGGTACCATTTAACATCACTGCTAGGCTTGACCCCCAGGCAGCAATAGCTCTGCAGTATCCCACTTAATGACCCTAATCCCCTTGCTCAAGGACGTGAAGTGAAAGGGCCTTTGCTGCAAATTACACTTGAGATTTGGGTCGAAAAATAACACTTAGAAGGGAAGGCTTCTGCTTTGGCAAGCGGAATCCCTCTCATTTCTTGAAAAAGCTTGCAATTTAAATGGCCACGAGCCTCACCTCTTCTTAAAGATGTAGCTCATCTCCCAGGTGCTGAAATAATTACATCAAACACACAGAAGTAATTTAGATACTAGCCCCTGTAAAACCCTTGGCTGGTGGAGTAACACACACCTGAAGTGCTCCGAGCCCTAAACACGGAGCAACAGCGCTAGGAAGTGCCCGATGGCCCGCCACGGCGTGTGGTCCTGGCATACAGGTTCATCTGTCCCTTCACAGCTAGGTCACGAAATACACCTGCAGAAGGGAAGCAGCTAAACGCTACATCTCTATTTTAATTTGTGCCATGTTATTAATATTCTACCAGTGTTCTCTCTGGTGCATGCATTAAGTTTTAATTGGTATTCCCCAAAGGAGGCAGGGACTCGGTTATTAACCGTTGGAGGCGATGGGTTGCTTAGGAATCAGGGCTTACAGTGTTTTCCTTTCCAGTCTGATTTTGACCAGCCGATTTAATCTAATTTCAGAAGATCATGAAACAAGTGACAGCGAAGAAACTAAAGTCAAACTGAATCTACTCTTCGTGCAGGATGACTGGGTATGGTTTAGTTTTAGCCAGACTAATGGATGCAGAATCAGGCAAGGCTGCAGCAAACACTGCCGCCTGCAATATACATATATATATTTGCGTATATACGGGGGATGGAAAGATGCTATGGAACAAACCTCTTTTTCTGGTGCCTCCGTTCAAACTCTTACCTTTTACCTTCCTCAAGGATCGTATTGAAGCTGCTGGTTTTGGAGCAAGTGAAGAGATAACACGTGTTAATTGACCGACTCCCGCTTCACACTGTGAGGGGCGAGCGCGGGCTCCGCGCTGGGCGCCTTGGAACCGCACCGGAGCAAACCCGCTATCGGCAGCGCACGCGCGCGCAGGAAGCACAGCTACGTGGATGGGAGCCGTGTTGTCTTCGTTCAGTGCAGGCACCAGAGGCATTTCCATTGCCACGGTCCTCGCTTATCTGCCACGTTTCCTTTACCGTTCACTGAATTTGGTCAAACCGTTAAGGCACGGCGCACCGAATCCCTAATCCGCACGGCAGTGCTTTGAAAAGCTTTAGTTTGCCCAACACGGGTAAAATGTTACGTATTTCTCTTCAACACCGATTACCAGTTTCTTAATTTGGCACGTTATTTGGCACTAGAGCAAGCCTCCCGCGTGGGAATCACCACAAAAAGAGTTTCAGAACTATACATTAAAAAAAATCCACTTATTCATAAGCAGATACCACCCTCTTGGGTGCATATGCTGAGGGGCATACATCTTTGAATCCTTTTTTATTGTTTTTTCCTCCTTAAAAAGCATCTCGCTGAGGCAGCCGGGGCTGCCTCGAGGACGAGGCCGAGCACAAGGAACCACGAACGGCTCAAAGCGCCGGCCGCCGCCGCGCCTGCGCTTACCTGACCTCAAAAAGGGCAAGAGACGGCAATTACGGGAGAGAAACACAAGGAAATACGTAGGGAAAACCACAAAAGAGGCCCAAGCGTTACTGTAGCAAAGTGGTTATTCCAAACAGTTCTTCCATCCGAATATCCTCTTTTAACCGTTACCAAAGAATGCCCCAGAGCACACAGGTCACAGCGCCAGGTGGAACGGACGCACCGATCTCCTCCCAGCTGCCAGGGTTTCCATGTATGTGTTTATTTAGTGCACCCAGGGTTCTTCACAACACGACGCCGAGTGTGAGACCCCACGAGAAGGAGAAGCACCCCCTGGGGAGCTAGCTGGGAGGAAAGTGCCCCTAGCGCTCGCTAACGCGGGGGAGAATAAAAATGAGCGAAAAGAAAATAAAACAAAAAGTCAAATAAAAGGAGCTAATCGGCCTCCTAAGCCCATTAGCGCCAGCCTTATCGCGCTAATCCTCCTCCGGGGTG